GAGGCAGACCAGAAAATGTCTGGTTTGACGATGACGATAGTTTTAGTTTAAAACATCCTTAGAGGAAAATGTTTCTCGTGCAAAGCAGTCGTTTGATTATGATGTATGATGATGACGAGTTATGCATGTGAATTTATAACACTCGCGTCGCTCAGTTTCCCCGCCACGGTCAGGCAAACATTGCGTATTTTCATAAGGGGGTTGAAGAGTCTGGTTCAACCATAGTAATTTTAAACTGTATTGATTGGTCTGGTTCTAGCATAAAAACAAACAAACTGGGAGACAAGGAAGAGCATCGACTAAGCATGTCCCAATTTCATCTGCACTGTGTGATTTCAAATTTGTGGCGTGATATGTAGGCATACGTGACCTGGACATGACCCCAACGCAGACTAATTGCCGAAACAATCTACGAACGTATAACTCAGAGACTCGTTGTCACATCTGTCTAACTGCACCCTGGGCTACGTATCAATAGGTGATTTTCCGTACAATTGCGAGATCTCGCGAGATGCATGAAAGACGCGCGTCGAACGTCTGCTGCAAAAATCGAACGATTTGATTTTGAACTCGAATTTCCTTATTTCGTAGCTCACACCGACCGGCCAATCTTCGACAGAAGAATATTGCTTCCGAATACCCTTACTTAATCGAAATTGCCTACCATCAAATGTGGACAGCACATTATTAAGCATGGAAATGTCCCCAAAATACTTTCGCGTTTGTCGAATCCCACGCGATGTTTGACGCCACTACGACGCTATGACCTTTGTTTGTCCTGTTTTTACGTTCGATTTCACGCATAACGCGTGATTCTCGCAGTGAACGGAAAATGGTCTATTGCATGGATTTTCCCCGCTGTCAAATATCAATCACATATTAGGTCAGAGACACTACCGAGGGACATCCGGGTATCGTCGTAAGTCGTAAGTGAACAACGAAACATTACTGATGATATTTTCCCTTACGTCGACTTCATTTTCCGAGCATACAATTCCCGAAGAAATATAAAATGTTTACATAGTAAAATATTAAAGCTTCCCGTCTTTAAGCTCGCCCACGGATTTAACCGCGCTTTCCTCGGTGCGTAAAAACCCACAGACTTCGGTGCTTGTTTTCCAAGACGAAGTTGAAAAGTGCGACGTCAGTCTGCGGTTTACAATCTCGAAACCTTACGATCGAATGTGGCTCGGGAACGTTTATTCCGTTTAGCCCGACAACAACACAAATGTAATTCGTGCGATATTTCATTTGGTTAAAGCGCGGTGGTCGTCGCGCAGCGCGTGTTCGAACTTCATGTAAATAAACAATGTATTTTACATGCGTTGTATACGTCGCTATGAGTCCCATGTCGAACAGGACGCGGCGCGACAAACCGCCGCCCTTTAATGTACAACCTAGAATTCTGTCACGTGATTGCTACTGAATAGAGAAAAAACGCTCTGTGAGACTCTGTGAACTGGTGCCATGTTTTTGTGATAGTGTCTCAAATACTGTAATACGCTGGGTAGGATCAGTGAAGTCCGCTCCTCCCATTTTGCATTGGGTATAAACGGTAATTCTATAACATATGTGTCTAGTTGTAACAGGGGTGCAGATTAAATTAAGCGGGAGGGTCGTCACCTGCGCACGCGCGGGAATTGAGTCCCAAGCGACGATAACAACACACGCTAAAAGCGTAAAGGCTCAAGGGTAGACGCTTGTTTGTAAACAGTGACACGCTATGGCCGTCTGATGCATGCGTAGGTGACAAATCCCCCGCTTTAAAGGGAAGGTACAATGTGACAGAATGATACTAACAGATAAAAGACCTCCATAAATGTAAAGAAATGCAATTTACAGCAATTAGTCCCTTTTTTTTTACTCTCATCGCTATCTCTTTAAAAATGTAAAAATGAAAAAAAATATATATATATGTAAGGTTGGCTTTGGCAGGCTACTATAGTCAACACTTTTACGCAATTTGACGTCTTACTTCTGATAATATAGATGATATAGAATATAGAAATAATTTTCTCAATTCTTCACAACAAATGAGATTTAAATGTCATACTTATTACCCAGAACCCTTTGCTGGAGAATCAAGATGGTGAACTACATATACTATAGTATACTGATAAAACGTTGAATATCTGGAGAATGAAACGAGTTATAAAAAAAATTACTTTATTCTCCTGCATTTGTGAGGCCCTTTCATTTGATAGCGTTATTTTGTCAGCTTCGGTCTACATTTTAAATAGTCCGGTTAGTGACTGCATATACGACCATTCCGCGTCGCTGTATGACGTATATTTGTTATACAATCGTAGCGGCAACTATTCATTATACCCACAATGCATCGCGGCAATGCAATATGGAATGAAGAGCTTATGTGCAACAAACACTATAAATTACCCAGAATTCTCTTATTTGAACCATTGTACATTGCTTTGTACATTGAAATGGCTTAGCATTTTGGACAATTCTAAGAAATCTGCTGTTTTCTTTCATAAGTCTGTTTTGCAATGGAGAAAATATAGTAACCAATATATAGGTACTCGTCTCAATCAGTTTGGCAGCTAATATTCATATTTGGTGCTGGGGATTTCCTTAGTTATCTAAGAATTATATAGTTATAAAATGAGATTTACTGTTACAAAACATCACTACTCCAGCAAAACACCAAACTTGTTAGCGATTTGAAGAAAAGAAAAACTTTTTTTTTTAAAAGTGCACGTTTTCAAAATGCATGAAGCATATTCGAAAACGGCTGTTATATTATTGCAAGCCGCATATAATTGTGGGTAATCCAATACACTGAGTTCCGGTTCAAATTATCAGTCCGCGTTCAACGTATTTGTGCTTGACAGTGTAATATAAGAACCACACAACAGAATCACATGAAAGATAGACTATTATTATAAGAGGAGCGGAGGAATGATACAAAATGCAGGGGTTTATTAACCGACAGAAAACGGTAGGCCAAAAATTAGGATTTTTTCTAACCACAATTCTATGCTTCTATCCAAAAAAAATAAACAAATATCAACCCTTATTTAGTAGAAAGCGTATATCAAAAGTGAAAACACACGTGAAAACACGTAGTGTACGGTATTCAATGTGTGACACACAGACACTCTCCTCGTGTTGTCGCGTCTTGTCAATAGCACCGGCTGGTACATTCTTACACAAGAATGTGTCTCTGAACAATCCATTCACTGAATGCACCGACGTGTTGAACATTCAATTCAAATGAAAATGAGGACTCGGTAATATTATAATACTTCAAACAAGTTAATGGATTCCCCAAAACGTGATTGTGACAGCAAGGTCACTACACTTCTGCCTACCGGGATACAGAACTGTAATTTTCACTGACTAAACTTAAAATACAACAGGCTGAGTTACACGCAGGGAGGCA